TTATAATGACATTATAATTTGTATATAAAATAATTTGTATGTAAAATTCATATTTAAGTTACTGAAATAGCTAATTTCAACGTATATACTTATAAACTTTATCGTTAGGTTTTTCCCGTGTGTAGATCTTGGGAAGATTATACGTGGGCATATTTTAATGGACTAATCGAGTGTCGACTTGAACAGGTGTGTGAATGCTATAATAATTATTGTAACAGAACGATCTCAATTATATTTTATCTTTAATAAGCGTCTTTTTTTATGCTTTAAAGTATTTTAGCCAGCGAGGTCAGCTCGGGGAGTTGGGAGATGTTGATTTGCCAGTTCCAACACAACTCTTGAGCCTCACTCCAGAAGATATATTTCGTAAAGTTGAGGCTCGTCAAACAGACAGGTAATTTCTTAGTATTTGAACTTTTTTAGGTGATGTCAATACAATATATTTAGTTTCGTTTATAACTTTGCATATTTCGTTTGCATAATGCATTTAGGGATCCTCAAATGGCACTTTTTCATAAGATTCAAAAACTCTTTATTTTAAATAAACCAGATGAAATTGTTAAATGCTTAAAAGAAGAGTTGCTAGATAAACAGCTAAGTTATAATGAGTGCGTATGATTTGATTTGGGGTAAGAGATTTGGTTTAAGCTCTAGAATCAATCCTCATTTTACTTTTTTTACTTTTAGCAGCAGTGCTTCTTATTCTCATATTCGGCGTTTCGCAGCTCATTTTGTGCTATTTTTACGGGATCTTATTCCTCCAACTCCAGATAAGGAATCCGATGATTTAATTAAGACTTACACCGAATTATTAATTGATTTCAAGCAGGTTTTATAGTCACTATAATTCGTTTCCATTAAAGTTATCATACAAGATTTACTGAATCTAAATTTAATTCATCTAATATGCAGGATTCTATTATTGCTTTGTATGCTTCAAAATTACCTAGAGAAATGTCAATTGAAACCTACGCCTTGTTTTTGAAAAGTAATTACAAATTAGCAAAAAATTAAACTTTTCGTTTTTTCATCAATTAGTATACTAACTTTTGGAAATTATTCTTCATTTTTAGATATAACGGGAAGTTATGATGAACGGTTTTATTTTTATAATTTAGCTGAGAAGCATGGTCTAGATGTTACAGCAATAGCTAGAAGAACATCTGATTTGACATTAGAAGAATACTTGAAGGAGGTATGCACTTCATTATATGCAATTAGTAATAATGTGCAATATTTATTCACAAACATCATAATAAACATCATAGGAGAAATATGCAAGTGCCCTCTATCTAAGAATTGCATCTCTCAGTGATCCAGTTGATCCCAAGGATATAGTACTCATTCGTGGATTAGAATGGTTGACATTCAATAAAAACCAAGTAGTTGAAGCCATGGATCGTGCCAATGCCTTGTTTAGGCGATTTCTTGGTATAAATATTATGGATTAAATATAATGAATTGAATCTACCAATGTTTTCATTGAATTTATTTGGCTTGCATTAATTTCTAGCATGTGGGAAATTGAATGCGGTGAATGCCCTTTTGAGTTCAATGGCTAACCCTAAATCGCCTTTAGCAAGTTATGATCTTGATAAAGAAGCAGATGAGCATGAAGAAACAGTTGTTTATGAGTATTCTTTTTATCGTAACATGTTTAATTTCTTCACCAAATATGAAGATTGGGTAAAGATATGGCAGGAAAAACCTCAGAGGTGTGTATGGACATTATTATTATTTTAGAAATTAGCATATATGTCAACAGTATTTAATATAGTTTTCCATAAGTCCGAAATCATTCCCTCGAGATATTAGTATTAGTGAATGGACTTTGCGAATTAAGGTAAGAATTTTAATATATTTAGATATTTGTTTAAATTAAACTCACGAATAAATTTTTCAGGAAACAACAGATGCTTTAGATCAACTTTCTGATAAATTTCTGACCGCTTATATAACAAACCCTGAATTTGATGAAGATAAAATTATCACGGAAGAAGGTAAAAAAGAAATATTTAAAATCAATTATTGATCTGAATTTTCTACTGATTATGTGATAACTTGTATTATATAGAGGAAAGAAGGATACAAGAATTGCAACGGGTATCTGATATTTATATTCCAGAAGTCATTCTTCGTTTACATCATGTATATTTTAAAACACGTGGTATTATTCCTGGGTTAGTAATTTGGATTATGTCATGATTTGTCTTTGAATCTTTACTAATATAGTATCAATTGTAACTTATATTAGCAATTTGGACAAGAGCCTTCAACTAGCTGATCTAGTAGCCGATGAAAGTCGACATTTATATATGCATTTCCGACGTTCGAAGAAACTGCCCGTACTTTTAACGATGTTACGTGACTCCTACCTTGAGATCACAAGAGAAAATCCAGATGATATTATTGTTCATTGTTAAATAATTAAGATATATTTGTTTTTGTATAATCACATTTTTCTCATACTATTGTAACTAAACACATCGATTTAGATAATAGCATTTTTTTTTTTCTTTTTCTCAATCTTAAAAAGAAACAAATTGTAAAAATGTTCGGCAAATGAGACGTTAATTATGCGTTTACTTTTTTTTTTTTTTTTGAAATTACGAGTTTGCAAAATAATGGATGTGTGCGAAATATAACGTTATTATACACATTTTCACATTATTTTACATCAAAATCTCAAATGTCTGATCTAAAACTGGGATGCCATTTGTTGACAAGCCTTGAGATTATCTAAATACCATTGGCATAAATTGGTGTTATAATTATTTTGCTCCAAGCATTTAGACAAAGCCTTTGCATCTCGTTCACACGTTCTATCACCGGTGGACTGATCATCGAATTGAAAAGATCGATGCTGAGGTTGCTAAGATGAAAATAGAATAAATATCTTTAAGAGAGTAAATTCAAATGATAAGTATAGTTTGAAAGTATTACTTCGTATTGGGTTTGAGGAGAATATTGCGATTGAGCATCCTGTGCAGGAGGTTCAGCCGAACTACCACCCGAGAAAAGAGAAGAGATCCCATGACCCTATATAAAATGTTATTTTAGTAAAGATGCAATTATTCAACTTATGAAGTTTGAATTAGCATACAATGTTATGCCCGATAGCGACACCAGCTGCAGTTGAAGCCACCTAAGGATCAAACCAAAAAAGATTTTACATTTATTAAAATATGTTAACCGACTCCATATTATGTTCAATAATACCTGTCCTAACAAACTAGGTTGTGGGTTTGAAGAAACCGCTGGAACATTGCTAGCTTGTGAGTTAGGTTGAACAGGTTTTGTTTGAGCGACAGGCACTGGTGCTGAACGAGGTGGTAACGTGGAAGCCTGACGTTTTTGCTGTCTCGGTGCCCTAGCTGGAGCTGAACGACTTGATTTGCGAGGCATTTGTTATTAAGAATAGAGAAACAGATTAAAGGATTATCAAAAAAAATTTAACCGTTACTGATTTATCAAGTGTGATGATCTAATAAAAAAAAAAAATCTATGTTACCCGAATCGAATTAAGTTTAATTTTAGCTGCAATGCCCACGCTATTTTCTATATTCATCTTTTAAAGCTTTTTATATATATACGTATATACTATAAATTAAATATAAATTAGTTCTTTTGTTTGTAATTTAGCATCATATAAATTTACAGTACACTGTAGTTATATAGTATATATAATTCACTTATCAATTGTATACATACAAGGCTATAAAGTTTTTGAATTTCTTAGTATATATATATATATATATATATATATGTATATATTATAGCAGCTCACTTAACAAATAAGAACACAGTATGTTCTTTTTTGCCCAGCTCAATCCGTGCTTTCATAACATAATATATATGTGTTATGAAAAACTGTAATACGCGCTAAGTGGCTCTTGGAAGCTAAAATTGAATATTTAGTTTGTCATCGTGCATTTGGTAGAAAATTGCAAAAATAAAAATCGGATTTGTCTAGTGACAAAGGCTAAAAAGCATTGGACATCAATTGAGCCATTTCTTGCAACTCCTAGCTCTGTTTTTGACAATTATTATTAACACTTCTTATTTGCATGAAAGTTCTATTTGACTGGCAAGTATTATTATTTAAATTTTTATACTATTCCCGTAGGAAAATGCATATGACCCTGCTCCTCATTGCACACAGTTTGTTTTAATTTTATTGGCAAATGACTGCGTTTTCACGTAAGTGTGTTTGTCCTTACTCAAAGGTGATGTGTTTGGGCGTGCACTATACCATCTATATGTAGTATTATTATTATTATACATGGACTGTCGTCTAGAAAATAAGGCAGATTGACATTTTCAAAAAAATTAATACCTTAATTTTCACAGCTCATATCTCAATGAATTTTGAAGTTATCTTGATTATTTAATGGTCAAAAGAAAGGTTAGATCTTTAGCTTTCATTTGATTATTGAATTATCAAGTTAGCTTCAAAAATTCATCGAGATGCGAACTGGGAAAGTTAAGGTATTAATTTTTTTAAAACGTCAATCTGCCTTATAATAATTCGCGAGAAATTATAGTACTGTACACAAGTATTAAAATTTTTTTGGCATCATGAGCATTAAGGCCATATAAAGTTTTTAAAAAAATTTCAATATTTTCTGAGTATGATAGAAACTTTCTTTTTTTATTTATTTATTAATATCGTATAAGATGATAGAAACTTTCTAAGTTTCATATTCTCAAATGAAAAGCAAAATTTAAAATTTATGTTCTTGTTAATATTTCTCATAATTACATCATAAATATTGTGTTATCAATTTTTTTATTATGAACAGAGTATTTCTTAAACCGCATTTTTACATGAGTAATGATATTGTCAAAAAAAACTATGATATTTACCCAAATTACTAAACAGCATTACGTGGTTCTTGACCCGAAGTTTATAAAAACTAATTATTACTATTATTTATTAGAGTGAGTTGCCTGAACGTGTCTATAATAAAGACGCTAAAATGATCTAAATACTAAAATAGTTAATATTTATAGTAGGGGTTCGGGTTCTTCTTTACTTTTTTTGCAAGTCGTTTTGAGAATCTAATAGGCGACGAAAGTTCATGATTTCTTGTATGTTGCTTTCTCACACGTTTTTTTGCCATCAATTCTACAGAATTTGAGTCTGTATTTAATTTAATTTGTTCATCTTGACTATATGTAATATCTTCAGAAGATGTTACATTAAACATATTTAATGTAACATATTTGTCTTGACTTAGGGTATCTTCTAAGGAATTCCTGATGGTAATATCCTCTGGAATGCTTACATCAGATACATGTGGCTTGGAGTTTTCAAAGCTCTCAAAAATAACACACGACTTAGAACTTTCATCTTGATTGGGCGCAGTACACTCCGGGTGGCTTGTACTAAGTATAGTAGATATAGTAGAAACATGCTGGTCTTTTTCGGATGGGAATAAGTTGACATTTGAGTCTTGTTCTTCAATTACTTCCCGAGATTTGCCCTTATTTGGTGAATTTAAAAGTGCTTCGCACATGTCTCGCCAGGGACTCGTTGTTTTAGAAATGGGTAGGCAACTATCATCCTTAGATGATTCAGAAGACGAATCAGGAGACAAGTCTAACAGAACTTCATGTCTCAGGGGACTGGAAATTTTCTATTATATATAATAAATCCGATTACCAGCTAGTTGATATGCAAAATAAAATATGACCTATTTAAAAATGAACATGCACGTACCGGAGAAAACTTATGTTGAGTATTCAAGATCAAGCGAGAAATATCTGAATCCTGAGTATTTGATGTATTCATTATCCCTTTCTGATTAAAACAACAAGGTTAAGTTTAATCTTTCGTACATTGTAAAAAAAAAAAGATCTTAAATAAATAAATAAAAAATATGTCACGTACAGATGATCCAACTCCGCTATCTATAGAATTATATCGCGATGTTCTATGCCTACTTTTCGAACTCTTGCGCTAATACCCAACAAAAAAATGTCAATAATCGTGAGATAATAAACTATTAATAAAATTATATCGAATTTCATTATATACCACTATAGAATATTTAATTGGTGTACTTAATAGAACTGAGTGAGGTGTACTTAATAAAACTGAGCGAGCTGGTGCAGATGGCAATTTATTATTTGATGGTTGTGATGTTTCCACTGACTTTATAGGTAATGCTTTTATAGATTTGGTTGGCGTAAGTTGCAACGATTGTGATAGTTCTGTTTGTGCTGCTGTCGGAGATTGGATTCGTGTATTATCTGAAAATAATATTTGGTTCACTTCTTTTAGTTCTGTCAAACTTAAACACACTGCGTCATCAATTCTTTCTTCTTCCATTGTTTGCGATATGGAAATTTTTAAAGCAGTCTCCATCTGATATTTGCAAATAATATAAATAATATGCAATTCAAAAGCCTAAACGTATTTATATTTAAGGGCGCGTAAAATTCATACGCGTGTCGTCGACGTGAATCAACCAATCAACAATCAAAAATTTTACAAATAGTAATACAGAATCTCTATAAATAATATCTTGAGTAACTCGAGTAATAACCGTTATATAGAATTTTTTTTTTTTTTAGTAAGTTTCGGTAATCATAGATTATCAAAACATTTGCCATGTATACTCAATTATAAAATTTAATTTAAGATTAGGTTAAGGTTTGTTTTTTTTTTTTTTTAATTAAAGAAGACCTTCTTGGTCGGTGAGAGTTTATTAAGTAATTTCAAACACTATACATTGTGACGAAGGTACATCAAGCCACATGTGCACTTTTGGTGCCTAATTTAAGTAGTTCGCCCAAAGCAGTTGTGCTATGCTAAGGGTTTTACACTATCTGCCGTACCTATAATCCAACTATGGGATTATCCATTTAAACCTTATTAGGTTAAGGTTTGTATGGGCTAAGATTAGAAGATTCTATTTATTATTTTTTTTTTTTCACTTTGGTAACCTTGCACTAATTTATTAGAAGCTTTGTAATTTACAAATTTAATTATCTAATTTACATATTAGGCCAATACCTGGCTGCTTAAAGTGCCCAAGTATAGTTATTGCACTGATGTTTGCTGATTGGCTTCACAATGACTCTAGATAATTCTAAAGTAGGTGGTATGGCAAAAAAGAGTAGATTTTTTGGGTCAAACATGTCTAAATTTTGGTTAAAATCAATTTTTAATTTTAATTTTAATCAGAATTAAGCCAAATTTGGTTCAAAATCTACTCTCTTTTGCTCTACTACCTACTTTAGAATTATCTAGGGTTCTGCTTCACATATAGTGCTACCTATATTTAAAAGCCCAATATAGTGTGGTACTTAGCTATCTAAAAATTTTCTAAGAAATAAAAAAAAATTCTATTTTATTCTAATTTTACTTTGACCACTAGCTAGGTGAAAAAGAGTTTGAAATTTGTAACCAAATTGTTTCTTTTGCTAAATTATAAATCTTTACTACTTTTTCTTTAAAATTTACCAAACATAATCTGCTCTTTTTTTTTTTCTCTTCTATACCTGTCTTCTTCATGACCTTTTTTCTTTTACTATATATTCCTCATAATAAGCTACTCTCTAAAATAAGCTACCTCCTCATTTTTGCCAAAAAATATTAAAATTTCTTTTACCCCAAAATAAGCTACCCCAAATTTTTCAAAAATTTTTAACAGTTGTTATATATAAAAGTCAAAATTGTACTAAGTGAATATATATTTTGATCTTAATAAAAGTTGTTTAGAATTTAAAAATACATATATTTTGAAAGTTTCATATAATTTGGATAACTTTTTATTAATACATTTTTGCATTTTAAATTCAAATTTAAAATGCAAAAGTGTACTAATAAAAAGATATCCAAATTGTGTGAAACTTTCAGAATAAACAACTTTTATTAATCTACTTTTACTGATTTATATAGTACCATTTTGACTTATATATATATATAAACTACTTTTTTTTAATAAAAAATAGTCAAAAATGGTAAAAAACCTCTATTACCTGAAAATAAGCTACTCCTGAAATTTTTGTGTAATTTTTTGCCCAAAAATAGTAACTTATTTTCAGGAATATACGGTAAGTTAATTACTTTTCTAACTTAAGAGACTTTTGTAAAGTTTGTCAAGATGCATCTAATAGTAGTTAGAGCGTCAAAATCAGCTTGTTGAATGCCAAGATATTTTTAAAAAATGTTTCTTTTACTATATAAACTTCTTTGCAAACAATATTATTGTTTGCAAAGCAGTTTATATAGTAAAAGAAATATTTTTTAAAAATATCTTGGCATTCAACAAGCTGATTTTGACGCTCTAACTACTATTAGATGCATCTTGACAAACTCTACAAAAGTCTCTTAATTGGGAGTCTACAAGTAAGCCAGAAAGTGATATAACTCAAATTACTATATAAATTTACTATAGTGCGAATGTAGCCTGCGCAAATCTAAAACTTTTTTTTATATTAAGTTAATCACCCTTCTAACTTAAGAGACTTTTGTAAAGCTTGTCAAAACATATCTAATGGTAGTTAGAACGTTAAAATCGGCCTGGTGGATGCTGAGATATCTTTAAAAAACTTTTCTTTTACTATGTAAATTTTTTTGCAAATAATGGTATTTTTGCAAAGAAATTTATATAGTAAAAGAAAGGTTTTTTAAAGATATCTCAGCATCCGCCAGGCTGATTTTGACGTTCTAACTACCATTAGATATGTTTTGACAAGCTTTACAAAAGTCTCTTAAGTTAGAAGAGTAATTAACTTAGTATAAAAAAAAGTTTTAGATTTGTG